GTCACGTAACCTTATCCTCAATTTAACAAAGAGACACAGAGATAAAGCATATTTTTAATCACTTTTATTCGTGTGTCAGAAACGTTTTCCAATACCACGATGACGCGCCTAGTGAATTAAGCTGTAGGCGCGTAGCTGTGTCGGAATGACGGCTGTCTCGTTGATTTATTAGAACGCGAGGAGACGTACCGGGTCCCTTCCCTGACTCCCCTGGGACCCTCAGGTACGGCAGCAAAAAACTTGGGTGTTTGTTGACAACGCGACTTCGTCATGGTCGGAAATAAATATTTGGATGGAATTCAAAGATTAGTGCTACAAAAAAAAAACGTTTGCATTAGTAATTTCCTTCATTTTTAGTTTAGTTAATAATTCATACGTCATTAGTTAATTGTAAAACTAATTTTGCTTGTTATATTTTTATTTCCTAAATGTATACATAGTTATTATCGTATCACGTTATCACAAAATCAGGTATCCGGATTTTTTCGGCATTTTGTACTTTCCAATTTGACGTTTGATTAAAAATATAATTGAACGACATTATGTCTATTCCTGATCATTATGATTATAATTAACACAGTGAAATGTTAATGAGGTGGCAGATCTCAAGACACCTCAGAGAGTCAAAATCAAGGATTAACCGAATCTTTCCTTCCTAGGACGGAGAGTACGATGCGATGTTAACGATTCTCATTAAATATTCAAAGCATCTGGCACTTCCTAGTTTCATGACACGGGCAAAGTTCGAAATTTCACGAATTTACCAAAATAGATAGTTAGTTACGTAACTGAGAATACGATTGTGAGGTAATCGTTTTTTAAAATAGCTTTTGGAATTTTTTTTCGATAATTGTTTTTTCGATTTCGATAAATGGTCCTAGTGATGTTACCGGTTGCAGAGCGTGTGTGAGCCCGCGCGTCTTGGTAGCAATATCCTGCCTGATGCTGCTTATGGCTTAGAGTCTGTTTTAGCTTTCGACCTCATGTCGATAAGTAACACCAGGTGGGCTACTATACTTATAATAACACAACGTATATAGTCCATCTGAATTTTGTTATTAAAATTTTTGTTATGAGGCTCGTTATCGATAAAATATGAAATAACATTGTTTGAACCACTGCATTCAATATGAAACAATGATACTTACTCTTACATTAAACACGACAATTATACCGTAATACCTTAAAATAAGTCAATTATTGTTTCTACGCTAACGTGAAAGTGTGTTTGCTTAACATACATTTCACTATTCGACTCCTAAAACGGTCTTACACCCATCAAATAGTTTTTTCAGTGATGGGTCATTGTTGCGTAATCTGTAATAAGGTCCAAAAAGGAAGGTACGTAAAGGGAGCTGAAACATGACCCTCATCACGATCAGACATTGGACAACACATTGTCAGGGCATTCTGCGATAAGGAGCACTTTTTACTAATACTTTATTCAGGGTTGGGAGGCTTAGCTCTGTGACAGACTAATCGCACACGTCACAAGCGAGGTGCAGCCCGCTAAAGTATTAATGTTTAACCCTTTCGTTGTGCCAGCCGGTCGCCACCCGACAACTCGTTGTCAATCCCGTTCGGAGCGTCACGTGAATCTTTAATGTTCATTAATTTGTCGGATTCCCTGTACGGCTGAACGTTTAACTTCATATTCAGATTAACTGGTACATGTTATGTTATGTTATGTTATGTTATCGTTTGCGTGGTGATATTGTCTTTATTTGTTTGAAATACGAATTTGAAGCTGGATTAATACAGCCTATGGATTAATACAACAATTGTAACTATACTTGAGACCTTAGAACTTATATCTCAAGGTGGGTGGCGCATTTACGTTGTAGATGTCTATTGGATCCGGTTACTAAATAAATAAAAAAAATACAGCTTAAATAATAACAGGAATTCAACTTCACAACCTCGTGTATCGTAGTTGAAAACTCAATAATCTTATAACCACAGTTATGTGAAATTTCATGTGAAAAAAATGATCGATTTTATCGAGTATGGAGAAAATTGTCGTGCGTCCGTCTTCGAGTTGCTTTGGTGTTATTGACGTAGACTGATAAATAAGATTACAGTCCGACTAGTGCTACTCTTATTAGGGCTCATTGGATATCAGGCCACGGAATACCAATAGCATTAGAATTACCAAAGTTACAAGAATGTGAATTAATTCTGGTGTCATAAAATTTTATACAATAATATACCTTTATACAAGTTTATAACATTTTCCTGTTTAATGATTTTAAAATTATTGCGATAGTAAACTTAATAGAAATACTGAAAATCTCAAATTGTTACTATTGCTATAGCGTCGATAAGATTTTATTTACGAAACTAAAAAAGTTCTTGGTAAAAAAAAAAACAGCATTGTAAAGTTAAAATAATTTTGTGGTTGTTCTAAAATTTTATGAATTTTAATAACGAGCTCTTATTCGACTGTAACTTTTCGTCTGACTAGATTTTTTGGTCGATTGTTTTATTATTATATTCATCCTGGTTATAATTTAATGATATCTTTTGCTGATTGATAAATTGGTTATAATAATTCGCAATTATATCCCCACTGTATCTAATATATAAAATTCTCGTGTCACAGTTTTCGTTTCCATACTCCTCCGAAACGGCTTGACCGATTTTGATGAAATTTTTTGTGCTTATCCGGTATCTATGAGAATCGGCCAACATCTATTTTTCATCCCCCTAAATGTTAGGGGTAGTCCACCCCTAAATTTTATTTTTTATTTTTTAGACAAATTTTTTTGTTTNTATATGCGGGCCATAAAAGTGACAATTTTTTTGTTGCAATGTACACTATGCGCGACATTACCCCCACTACACCAAAACCTTGCCAACTTACGTGCCGCTTACTATATTATGTGGTTGAATGAGGTTTTTGAGAATTTTATATATTAGACTATAATTTCCCTAGAAATCTTATTTAAGGCAACACAACGTTTGCCGGGTCAGCTAGTATACTATAAATATGTAGTCCCTACTCAGTATTTATCAAACATAAGCAAACGAATCCTTATGTTTCAATAAAATTACAACGAGAATACCATTTGTCGACTATAATTATTTTACACTAGCGACCCGCCCTCGCTTCGCTTCGGAAACATTAAAACACACATGAGACCAAAAAAATAAAATAAAAAAAGTTAAAAAAAAGTAGCCTATGTTCATCAGGGACAATGTCGGCTCCTAATGGAAAAAGAATTTTTCAAATCGGTCCAGTAGTTTCGGAGCCTATTCGAAACAAACAAACAAACAAATCTTTCCTCTTTATAATATTAGTATAGAAGATTATTTTAACTTAACCAAATTCGCCTGTTAAAATAAACTGGCTGTAAATTATTTTCTAACAAAACAAAAATGAAAAGCGAATAAAACAATGCAAGCTTAGAACAGAACCGATGCCAAACTAATCCCTCGAGTACCTACATTTGTATGCCCATATTTCTCGAGTTTATCCGTAAAATTACAGCAGTTGGTGTCGTCCTTGTAATCCAACTAATATATGCACAACTAAAAGGCTTCGTCTCGGAAACACGGTCGCCTGTATCGCTCCCTGGGGACCGATCACTGGACATCGGGTGACCGATACTTAAATCCTTTTGAATATTATAATCCCCAGTAAATACCGTAGGAGCAAATTAAATATCTTTCTGATAAATTGCCTTGGCTTATTCATGGCAGTAGATTAGAAGTACAAAATAACCTTCAGGTGTATTTGATTCTAGGTTTAGTACAAAAAAGGAGTATTTTTGGTGCCAATTGAATGAAAACTATTAGTGGAGGAATACTGTTTTTAGTTAAGTTTGAACTGGAGCGCATCGAAGTGAAGGGTGTGCGGGGCGATGGCGCCCATTGGCCGCGCCTACCACTGTGGGTGGAACGGGAAAAATCAATTCAGCTTTCCCCGACGTTCCATATTTGAAAAGCTTTTACTGTCATCTTTCTGTTACACGGTTCATTATTATTCACGCCGTATCCGTGTAGGTTTGATCCCCATCCATCACGAATGCATCGCATCAATACACGATTGATCGTTAAAAGCAACTCCTGGGATTTTTTGTCCTTAAAACATCGTACGTAATTGACAAACAAAGACAACTAAGGACCCGGATAAGGGTTAGTAATTTTACGAACAAGTTATGGTTATGTTGAGGATAGTTCAATTGACGAATAAACATAGTGACGTATAAATTTTAGAAATGTATTTAAAAAAAATACCAAGAAGTATTTTCAATAAAAAGAAAAAAGCGTATGTCATGAAAAAGATATCTATGATTACAACTATCTAGGTTTCCATTCGCAACTTGAATTGATACCGTACTGCGTATGTGACTTAAAAGACGTAGTAGAAATAAAGAGTGTAGCCGGCCCGCATTGGAGTCGAATGGCCAAAAATAGAGAATATTGGCAATCTTTAGAGGAAGCCTTTGTCGAGAGACAAGCTATTTTGAAAACCACACCGAAAGCTGAACGGAATACTTGATTATAAGTTGCATTTTAATTTATTATTAAGTAATGTATTAAGTTAGTAATTACTAAGTAAAACAGCAATAAAGGCTTATTATTATAATAATTATTATTATTTAAATTTTTACTTTCTCAGCTTGCGCTTTAGTGACATTTACGGACTCGCTCAAGTAAATGTCACGGTTTCTTGGGGTTGGCTAATTAAGTGTGTTCTACTATTGCATTATGTGGTTGATCATCTATTTGCAGAAACTTTCTTACGATTCTGCACGTGTTTAATATAGCAGCTTTATTATTATGTGACTTAAAAAGGTAACCAGGTATTGTAGTTGAGGTTGTAGTTATTGTTAAATGTCTTGAAAGCTGTAAGGGGGAGTGGGTGCTGGTAGGAGGAGGTCGTGTGGGCGGGGCGGACAGGCGGGGCGCAGGGTGCTGCAGTCCCGAGGTGCTGAACTACCGGGCGCCTCACCTCGCCCACTAGAGCTCATCGCTTCGGCTTCACAGTCGCGCCGTACTCGCCGTTGTTGGCGCGCGTTCCGTTGCACCTCCGTTCTAGTACACGCTACGACTACTCGAAAGAATCACTAACTCTTTAAACCAACTGTCCTCAACTTAGCCGTTCGAAAACACCTGCAATTGAAACATAAAGGTGCATCTCGTATTCGTATTGTCATTAATTAACCCGATCGTCGGCAGGCACCCAAATAATTGCCGTGAAGGAAGCGTACGAAACGAAGCCCGCGACGGGCGCCCCTTCAATTATTAGTGACACCTGTCGGGCACGCGACGCGCATTAATTCGCAACCGCAAAAACAGTCCAAAATAACTGGATAATCGATGCACCTGCAGCGATTGATTGCCAGTGGACGTTCATTCGAATATTCGGAGTGTACGTCGCTGGCGTGACGGGAATTCGCCAAGGATTCCTGTCTAAAGGGCATACTGGCCGTATGATATGATCATGCTATTCAAAGGTAACAGCAGTAGGCTGGAACATCTTATTGAAAAAATTCAAGCCAACAAAGAAAATCACGAAGTCACTTCAGAAGATTTAAAAGGTGAGTAATAATCATGTTTCAGGATTTCTGGCAATACGCCACATTTAATATATCGGAAAATATGTAGAATACATTAGAATAGTACATAGACCCCAGCTACGTGCTTGGTTCATCATTGATTGAAACCTACCATAATATCTTATAATATATCAATAAATCTTTGCTACCGAGTTATCTATCAACAATATTAGAGTCGTTTAGTTTACAGTTTAACCATAAAGTAAGATTTGAGTTTAACTCACAAGACATTCTTACTATTCCTATTTGTTATTTAAAAAATGACCAGTTTCAGGACACCTACAAATTTGCTCTTCAAAACATATTGCGTTAGTGAGTAATGACGTTTTTTTTAAAAAGTCTAATGCATTAATTTATTTAATATATTTATAGTAGTAAACTAACAAAATAATTGCATGAGTGTATTTATTTCTGAGCTATGTTAATCACGAGACATTCCTTGAGCATAGTCTCTGTAAGAAAATAAAAAAAAAAGGCCAAATTAGTTTAAGAACATTCGCAATGAAGGCTTCCGTGGTTGAAATACTACAAAAATTATCTGAAACAAATAGGTACTATATTTCAATATCTCTACTTTATAATACTTTCAATTGAATTTTTTGGAAGTGCTTTTGAAGTTTAATTACTAAAGTTTTTCGAGAACATAGAAAAGTAGAACATATCTCTTCAACTATCAAACTGTTATTATTATTAATAATGTTATAATTTCAATTCACTATTCTATAGCGGCTCTAAATATCTTCCAATTTACAACGATGTAAGGCATTAATTATTACACCGTTGTAAATTTACGCATATATTCATGCTTATTTACTGTGTCATACGATAACAGTATCGAAATTGTAAAATATATTATTAGATTAAAATTTTGTAATAAATTGATCTTAATTTGGTCCCGTAATCAACAAACGAACCGAAATTATGCACTAAATATGATTGCGGGAGAACGTCTTTTAACTGTAATCAATAGTAAAAGGGAATAACGTAGAAATTACCTTGGTATCATATTACATATAGAGGATTTTTTTAAATAAATTGTTTTTTTAAGTAATGGATTTAAAAGAGGATGCCTATCAGCTCGTGCTGATCTATGAAAATGAAAAGTTTCGCTATTGTGAATCTTGGCAATGGTAATCTAAACAACATTAGGAGGCATTATAAACATAAATGTCACTAGACGTTTTTTGATTCGCGTAAATACGAAAACGAGCACGTGATACAAGGACAGTTACGAAAATTCAATTGAATACTCCTTTTAATTAGAATTCTCTGATTTACGCAAAGGGAAACTCGAAGGCGTTGCTTTATGACATAAATAAATGCGTAAAAACCTACGATTTTCATTTATTTATCTTGATCACAATACTTGGAATGCAAGAAACAGAAAAAAAAGGTAATGCAAAGAAAGGCACGGTATTGAACATAAGATTGGTCGCGATTGGAGTATAGTAGCAATAAAATAGAGTTTTACTTCCACTTCTGTTCTGACTCAGTTCACATACGAACAGAAAATTTTATTCCGTACAAATGTTTGGTTTCTCTTCAAAAACGGCGGAGGCCTTGTCGGTCAGTAAGATGGCGCCATTTTTATTCATCTAGCAATGACCCCAATTGTTGTAAACTTCAGTGAATGTTCACAGGACCACAGCATGACGTTAGAGCCATGAATTCTCCTAATTTAATCCTAATCTAATTCTCCTTAATTCTAAAGAAGCTAAATATGAGTCGAGCCAGTAAAAAGTAGTTTCGAGGGGGGGAAAAAGGTAAAGAAAGATTAATGTCTCGGCTATGAACAAAAAACTGATGGATTACAAAATTTGTTGACTTTTTCTTCCTATTTAGGATATTTATTTATAAAATGTCGCAAGTGTAAAAATTAATGTACTGATATAAATACGTGTAATCGATTCGTTAATCTGCCATCCATTAAGGGTAGAATGTAAATATATGGCAGTAGTCCATTTGAAAATTAACTTCAAATAAATCCCATTCCAATTAAGAAGACAGGTGCTATTTTAAAATAAAGTGTACACTTAATATATCTCAGCGACTTATCTTTTGGAAGGCTTTCATTGCAAAGTACGGTCTGGTTGTATTGTATTAGGTAACAGCTGATTTCAAATCCCTCGTTTATGTAAATTACAAAATTCACTTACGCTCATTAATTATTTTTTTTTGGGAAAATGTCACGGGTTTTATTTTAACGATCGATATAAAAGCCCATAAATAATTACGAATTTGAAGTACACCTAACGAAAATTATTTCGACATTGTTCACGAAATACAAATTACTATAATTTCGTATTGTACTATAATTCCCAGCAAATCATACATATTAATTAATAACATTGGCTTATTCAGTTTCTAAAAAAAGACAGTATGCAGTTTCAAAACACATATCTATCACAATCTAATTTGAAATAAAATTAACGGTACTTAAAAAAAAATTCTGAATTTGGTCTTAATTTTGTTTCAAACATCAACCAAATCACAACGCGGTACTTTCATGTTCAACCGAAAATCATAATAAAAGTATTCCTAAACATTTACTCGATTAGATTAAACCGCAAAAAAGTGGTCAAAGGTGGGCAAAGCGATGACGGGCAAAGATGGGTAATTTATCTTCAAAAAGTCAGGTGTCAGGTAATTACTACTGGATTTCAGAATATTCTATTTTTAATTAATTGTATTTTGACTCTTTCGACTCTATCTTTTGTTTTTTGGGCAAATGGGACTCAATGTGATGTTTATGTAAATTTATGTGTTAAGGTAATATGAGGCACATAAAATTTCTTAGAGTTTATAGTTATTGATTTTTTACTGATGGTAGGGCTATATGAGCTTGCACGGCTGTCATCATCCTGCTTATTTTTTATGCAAATCAATCATACGTTCCGGTGCAATACAATTCATAATGAGCACTAATTCGTTTCATGACTTTGCAAAAACCAATATGTTATTGTGATATAATTATCTTCAGTTTTCGCGGGTTTTAGACGTAATAAAAGTAGTTTTAACAGCCATAAAAGTAGTTTTAATTATTATGATCTTGTAAATTTCATAAATTCAATACAATGGTGACTTCCGCTTCACAGTGTTAATGTCTGTGCTCCGATAGCGACCTATCACTAGATTAGCGTGACTCCTTTTGCCCATCTACAGCGATAAATGAGAAATCATATAAACTTTGCCCCCCTTTAAGTAAAGTTAATTTATAGTAATTAATGTTAAAAGTAAAACATTTCTGTGGGGACACATGTATAGTCAAATACGTCAAAATATCCTAGCTAGATAAATAACACTCGTATAAGGTACCTACTAACCGTACTCGCCCGCTTCGCTGGGCATTTAAAATTAACATTATTATTTATTGTCCTTATTATTAGAGAGTTCAACACTCATATAAATATTGGCCGATCCATTAAGTACCTACATGTATTTTCTACATGGATACCAAGTTTCAAGTCAATCGGTTTAATAGTTATAACGGAACATCCGTAAAAACCACTGTAGATTTATATATAAGTATTAGTATAGATAACAATCACAATTTCACTTGAAATGCTTAATTCAGATACTCGCCGAGTATATAGGATTAGCAATGAATACGAGTATATTAAGCTCGGCTTATCCGTGTGTGTTCGGTACACCCCATGAAACTCGTATATTCTCCGCGGGGTGTCGGTTTTTTTTTGGCACAAATCAAAAGGTTATCGGTTTGTGATCATGGGTGGAGTTAGCACGTTCGAACGAATTGTTCAAGATATTTCAATTTTTCAACGAGGGGCTACAAGATAAAAAGGCTACAGGCCATGGCAGCCAGGCCCACGTCATACTCGGTTCAAAAATTTAAGTTGACAAATAAACGAGTCTTTATGTGGCCCTCTTTTGGAAATGGTTTTAAAACAAACAGTTCAGTAGTAATGACCGTATAATAAATACATTAACTCGTTCTTAAGATTTCTATCATTTTAATGTTGTCTTTGAAAATACTTTAATTAGAACGTGGTAATAGGTACCTACTGTAATCACCCACACATCCCTAAAAAACGTAATTATATAATCTACGTAATATAACTAATTGATTTTATCTATACCTACATGATACTACCGTAACAAATAAGCTCACAAAATGTGCTTATATTGAAAATATGTATTAGTGTTCAGAAGAGATTTATCATCAACGGAAAAACCGCGCTCTTTAGATTCGAGTAAAAAAAAATTAGGTTATCTCAATAAATCTCTGGAACATGAAGTGAATCTTGAACAATTGTAGCTGGTACTGCTAGTAGCGATTGGCGTAGATTGTCGAGGCGCCGGTTGAGGTGTCACAGACAGACGGCGCAATTATTAGGAAGTGCGCTTCCGCCGCCCACCAGCCGCCGGCGCCAACATCGGCCGACGTATTGCCTGTAATCTGGTTCGCAGTGAGAATACGTAGGCACCTAAGCCCCCAGATAAATCTACAACAAAAAAAAAGACTTTAATAAATATAAAATTTAACAGTATCTGAAATGTTCGCCGTGCATTTGCGAAGAGATAATTAAGTTTTTTATGGTAACTGCAAATTGTTCTTCAATTAAAACGATGTCTGGCTCCGTGCCTGAGTGCAATCGTAACTAATTACGACTATCCTTCTACCGGACGCCCAAGTGATCAGTCCACCACTTATCATTGATACTGCGAATATCCCGTTATGTTTTAAGGAAACTGTCTTTATCCGTTGCGCGCGTCTCATGCAGCTCTTGATTGTCGCGCAATATATAAACTTCACTGGTAATCGTGTAATTCAAATTAATTTAAATTAAATTAAGTCTTCGGCTGTCTCCAGATATAACAGAAATTAAACAAATGTAAAATAAAAATCACGTTCCTCATTATCTTTAGTCATAGTTAAAAGGAAAAAATCATAAATAACAACTTCATGAAATGAATGAAGTTTAATCACATTCATATAGGTAAGTGTTAAAAATTGAAACCAAATTCAAACCATTTATTATTTTGCCCATTATTTCAGATTGTACGTACGTATTTCCGGGGCGTAAAACGGAGGGACGCAGATTGAAATAAATAGCCCATCCTATTAAATGCGTTTTTCGGAAAAGAAATAGCACCGCGATAAGGCTGATATTATTATATAAACTATAAAAAAGTCAGGTTCGGAGAACACAGTCAAAAAAAATCATGCAATACATTTTACTGCGTATTAATTTAAGATAATACATTTATTTACTGCTCTAGATTAACTGAAGCGCCGGGCTTGTATTATAGTACGAGTAATAACTTGTTAATATTTCCCACTAATATGATCACATGAATACTAACTTTTTTTTTTGTTTTCGTGCTGGGGGCCCACCCTTAAGCATGTGGATTCTTGTGGTCTTGACGGTCCACAGATGTTGAGAGCAGACCACGTGCTCGAGGATTTTTTTAGGGCCTTACCCACTAAACGACTCTCCTTGTCCTCCTCTTTCCCGACGAGCGAACTCCGTCCGGAGTGGGTAGGGCCCTAAAACATCCTTGGGCCCATAGTCTGCTCTCAACATCTACAGATTGTCAAATCACACATACCCTGCACGCCACCTAGGCGTGGGGACCTCTTAGGAGGTTCGGCACCAGCCTGATGTTCCAGTATACCCTGCTGAGACAGAGCCAGCCCACCGGATCGGAACACAATATACTGCCGACGGGCTTACTCATACGCCGAGCTACTCCCTCACACGTTCGGCGACGACGGCGACCACGGAAACTGGGACCACAGAACGTGGACCGCGGTCACCGCCGCGTTGTACCACCCTCTTGGTGCCGGCGTGTTAGACGGTGAGGATAGCGTGCGGCGCAGCCTCGGTCCTCTCAGAGAGCCCTGTGACAAAAAACCGGAGCCTAGAGGAAAGAAGAACTCTCACTCTCTCGTTCCGTCACCTCCTTCTGCGAGATGATGGACTCGTCACTGCCACTGCAGTGGTGACACTCCGGTGTCAGCTCTTTCTGGGCAATAAGGTGCAGGTAGCGGCTAAAACAGTCGTGTCCCGTAAGCACCTGCGTCGATGAATACCAACTCGTACCTTAAGAGACGAAGGTCGAATTTTAGTTATATTATAAAATAGCTATTCTACAAAAATGGACAGGATGAGTAAACTGAAATTCACGGGCATTCACAATACGACTACAATAATTGAAGAAAAAAAAATAATCGCAGTTTTGTTGTTTCACGACTTTCCCACCCCGTGAATGACGTTAGTGGACGTTAGTGGATTTCCCACCCCGTGAATGACGTGGTATTTGTCACGAAATTTGAACCCCGCAATTATTGGAAGAATCTGCTTACCCATTTTGCCACGTACAAAACATTAATGTAATAATATACTTTGCCATACTCGTACATACACGGTGCGGTCGCTGAGTTCGGCATGTGTCTTCTAGTATCAGAGTCTAGACTTGTATTTAAAGTGGTTTTTACTTCACGGTCTCCGATTAAATTCTCGACTGTCTCGGTGGTGGTGGAGTAGTTAGCGCCATTGACTGTTCGGGCGAGGGTCGTGGGTTGCATTCCCACATCGGACAAACAGTCGTATGAGGAAGAGGTTTATTTGCTCTTTGTTTAGGAGTTTATATAATACTAGCCGTACTCGCCCGCTTCGCTGCGCATTTAAAATTAGCATTATTATTTATGGACATTATTATTAGGGAGTCCAACGCTCATATAAACATTATCCTATCCATTAAGTACATGTATTTTTTACATGGATACCAAGTTTCAAGTCAATCGGATGCACGGTTCAGTAGTTATAACGGAACATCCGTAAAACCACTGTAGATTTATATATTAGTATAGATATAAGTATGCTCTGATTCCCCATAATATGAGAATCCTAATTTGGGACAGGATGACTGTGCATAAAAATTATAATTTAAAATCAGTTCTATTAGAAGTCCACATGTACGATAGCATTAAGGCTAGCGTGACAGAAAAAGATCAACAATAATGTTAGAAAAAAACCCCATGTGTAATACAGTCGCAAAGACGCAGTTACAAAATCTTCATCGCAATAAATAACCAGAACCGTGAACTTGTTTATGGGTGCGCCAGCCTGGATTTCTTATCATTGATTTTATCTTTACAAAATAAATTATATTTCTTTTGCGAGACATTACTGTAAAACTGAGACTTAGAACTCATGTCTCAAAGTGGGTGGCGGCATTTAGGTTGTGAATGCCCACAGGCTCCTTCGGCCACTTAACACCAACTTAGTCGTGAGCTCGTCCACCCATCTAAGAAAAAAATAATGCAAAACGATATGAGACACAGACTTTTAAAAAAAAGTTAGCAACAAAAAAAAATTTATTTATTATGCTGACTAGTGCAAAATTAAAAGGCACTTATCGAGGTCCAAAAATTCGTGAATATTGCTTTTAAGGCTGAGCCATGAGGTTTAAGTCGCAGTTGAATTGTAAAAAAGGATATCTATTATATATATATATATATATTATCTTTGAGACAGCAAGAGTGCTTCGCAGTAATTATGATCTGAATATTTAGATCTAACTCACTAGTTTCATTCCTCTTCTGAAAAATTAATACGTATTGACGATAAAAGCATGATTTAACAACGTGTCTGAAAATTATTCTAATACGCAATCCGACGTTAATGTAATTCAAGTAGATCGCAGAATATAACGCAGTCCCTTTCGCAATTCGCAACCGCGTAGAGTAGCACGATTTTCCGTCATTATTCATCATTTGCGTTGATGCCTCCCATCATCACGACCCATTCAATTTGTTTATATTTCACGCCACTTGGAGGTGCTCCCGGGGATATATAGCCTCTGACACCGAAATATGGGGCTTTACCGATATTTATGATAGCCCTAACTGAGCCAAGAGCTGCTACGTCTGTCCGCTCTAATGTAGTTTACTGTGCCGTAAAACCATTCAATTATCATTACGGATCCTTACAATTTCATAAGACGTCATTCTATTCAGTTGGTACGTATTATTTATTTTATAAGCTAATATATCGGAGACTAGGTATCTTTAAATATTATTTACTGTTTCATTTTGTTAATGGAATTATTTTATTGTAGTCCTATGTACGTGTTAGGTTATTAGAAACTTTTTTGTATTGGAATCGTGGTTTCTCGAAGTCATGGTGGTTATGGGATTCCCCTATAAATCTCAAAGTGAATTACTCTCATACATACATAGCCCAATTTGAGACTTCAAATCGATGGATTATTTCAATTGTAATAACGGCACCCAAATCCATCAATCTGCAACGCATAGGCTCCGTGGCGGCAATGTGGTACCTCAAATTATCTAATTACAACTGTCTAATATCGCATAAGTGATATTTATGAAACATCGTATTATGCAAACAACAAGCTCGCTTTTATTGCTCACCACGTTCCAGGAGTTCACGGCTTACTAAGCAGTTATCGCGGCTCATAGACAGCACAACGTAAACATGATCAGCTTGAGGAATAGACTTCGCGGCAAAACAGGCAGGATGTTGCTAACCACTTACTTAGGCAGGTTTAAAATACACGCTAATGAAGTCGTCGTGGCCTAGAGGATAAGACGTCCGGTGCGTTCGTATCTAGCGAAGCACCGGTGTTCGAATCCCGCAGACGGGTACCAATTTTTTTAATGAAATACGTGTTAACAAATGTTCATGATTGACTTCCACGGTGAAGGAATAACATCGTGTAATAAAAATGTAAACCCGCAAAATTCTAATTTGCGTATTTACTGGTGGTAGGACCTCTTGTGAGTTCGCACGGGTAGGTACCACCACACCGCGTATTTCTGTCGTGAAGCAGTAATGCGTTTCGGGTTGAAGGGTGGAGCAGCCGTTGTAACTATACTGATACCTTAGAACTTATATCTCAAGGTGGGTGGCGCATCTACGTTGTAGATTCTATTGAATCCGGTTACCACTTAACACCAGGTGGACTATGAGCTCGTCCACCCATCTAAGCGATCAGTCTGGTTTAATAATTTAATTTTAATGTAATTTTACAATGTGTTTTAGAGGCACTGGGCAGCGTGGGTAGTACGGCGGGCAGCTCTTGGCCGTCTTCGACGCCGGAGCCGTCGCCATCGCCGGCATCGACTCCGACCTCCGCCGACGCCGACACCGAGCCGCCCTTTACCCTCGGTGCAACTGAGCACACACCATACCAATGCCAGTTTTGTGACAAAGCCTTCCCAAGGCTCTCTTACCTCAAGAAACATGAGCAAGTACGCTTCGATATCGTTTGACTTAAACTAGATAATTGTAATGCATAACTATCTCTTAAAATAGGAAACAAGTGAAGGGTTTTAAAGGTGTATAATAAGTGATGTGTTTTTTAACTACGCAATGAAATCGTTTTAGCTTATTATTTGACACTAGTTTTTGCCCGCGACCTCGTCCGCGTTTAATATTCACAAATAATGCTTTTTTTAAACAAATTTGGTTAGCATAAAAAAAGTTATAGTGACCCAACCTTGACATATGCTGTCCCGGAATTTTTTTAGATCTTTTAAAAGGGAACAATTCTGTCATACATTGTTTTAGCGAAACTTTAATCGTTTCTGCAGCGCACGCAGCGGAAGCTCTCTAAAGGGAAAAAGCCCTCGATTTTGAAACATTCTTTATCGGTGCTCCGCTCGCATTGGTCTTAACGTGATGTTATGCCTATAGCCTTCCTCAATAAATGAACTATCTAATACTGAAAGAAATTTTCAAATCGGATCAGTAGTTCCTGAGATTAGCGCGTTCAAACAAACAAACTTTTCAGCTTTATAATATTAGTATAGATTGAAGGCAGACCACCGCGGCACCGTACCGCCGACCGGATCGTAATTGGCGGAGCGTTAGAAAAGCCAATGGCACATATCCGATCTGTTATCTACAATCATACTGCTCTTTTCAAATCCGATTTGAAAAGGTTGTTAATTTCGGAGCCTGATCATAAAATTATCAATGAAGCGCATTATGCAAGAGCGCAACGCTACCGATAACGGGTGCTCCAATAGAAAGGAAATGTCGGATAAAGATATCGTTTTAATATCTGAACCTAAATACGGAACGACGATGTATTTTTTAATACTTTAAAACACATATTATCAGATTAGGTAAAGTTCAAAGCAATAACAGTTAAAGTTGTAGGAGTAGTTGGAAATTTATCTGTACCTAGGAGCACTTACTTCCATAAAACAACTTCACTAACTGCTCAGACAATGCAACGGCTACATTTCTGACCGTCATATCTGTGAATCCACAATCCAGTTTCGCCATGCAGTTCGTCGCTTCATTAGCAAGTAGATACCCAAAATGGCCCATTACCTAGACGGCGTGTAGATATGCATCGCATTCAACTTACACCACAGCTCTGAGAGCATGAGTTGTGACGGACGCGGCCATTACGCCGCCCGAACATCTCGACTCCTTTGTGTCTTGCCGATCCCGCCGCGTTACGATTACGACACACACCAGGAGAGATCTAGCTCTGATAGGACAAATAGAAATGTCACTTTGTAAGCCGCCGTCCTAGCCGCCCACGCGTGGATACGAATCGACACGTAGATTTCTGGTGGCAAAATCGTCACCTCGCCGTATCTTGTATATTTACGAGTAGAAATCTCTTTTTTTTTTCTCTACCTAAGTTGATAGCCTTGAGAGGCTATTTCAGCGTAACCTTAATTAGTAGGTGAGCTCACGGGGCTCAAACCGAAGTGATGCTAACACTGACCCTAGCAAGAGCAGTGCTTCGCAGAATCTACCACCGGATCGGAAACGCGACTCACTGAGAAGATCCGGCGATAAATTCAGTGGGCTGTCTATGACTTAATTCGCCCGTCGAGCCCTTCGTCGCAAGCGACGGGTTCGACAAGGACGGTGACCGGTGCTTGTGGTAAAAGCACCGTTAATGGGAGTTAACCGGGAGGATCCGTAATGACGTGTAGAAATCTCACACAAACAAATGCAGGGAAATTAAAATCAAAATTACACGGAGGAATTTAAGTAGATTGTGGATGTGCAGCTGCAATAGCCGTTGGTTGTTTGCAGATAATGATCTGTGCGTGCGCATCGCGTTGTCGCGGATCGCGGGTGAGCGGCGAGCGCCGACAAATGTATCGGTTGATGATCGCGTCTAGTTTGCGTCGCTGCGCCACTGACGGCCGGAAATAGGCCTGCGATAACAACTCCCTGGTCTAGCTCGCCACACCTTTTATCATCTCGCCGCTTGGGAAAGACGATCATTATAGGAATAAATCAATTACTGCTTCCACGCACAACTTGACTCGTGGCGCGTCTTGTCTTGGGAAAAACACTTTTTCCAGCGCTTTATTTTGATTATTTACAATTTTTAAGCTTCATGGTGTAATATAACGTAATAGTTTATTTAATCGTAAAAACATCAACACATTATATGTAATTATTGTTAAATATATTAGATCTATATTTTTGTCGTGCACTCGTAGCGCAGGCAAAACATATAAGCTCTTCTGTACTATAAAAAGGTTTTAAATACTAGTTTTTTTCACGCTAAAGGCCAATTACTTAAAGATAAATGAATGTCACATTAGTAGTCTAGTATATCTACATGTCTAAGTATCACAACAAATAATACAACATAACAGCGTTATCTATCTATCTTTCTATTTATTTATCCATTAATAATAGTGATCAAATTTTTCATACATAACTACTTCATTTAGCACATAAGCCGTGTCTGTATAATCCGAAAAAACTTCAAAGCAGTCTTTCCAAACACAAAATCGAGGGTTTACGCAATTGAGATTATCTTTATTATTTTTAAGCGATACGGGAACCAAAACCGGGTTCTCGCTACTGTTTCTAAGAATGTTTGATAAACGAGAAGAAACATTAATTAACCCATTTTGAATTTACAAGAGAGTGAGGATAGCGCTTTTTTGTTTATGTAGAAGGCCAGGCTAGCTCATGCCCTATTTCGAGTCAAACGGTTAACGGAGCCCAGAGGCGGCTAACCCTGTTTTCTATAGTTAAACTCTAAGAAAATGTCTTGTATTTAACGTATTTATCGCTACTTTGCTCTAGCCGTTTGGAGACGCCGAATACTCTAGGGCGCGCTCTGGCCTAAGACGAGAGTATCCTAACTCGGAGTCGTTGAATGTGGCATGCTAATTCTTTTATTAATCATACACAGCGTAATGCATGCTTTGTTCGCGTCGGAGACAGACAGCACCGTGATACTAACTCGTACGAGTTCGGGATACACCCTCTATCCAGAAGAAAGGAATAAGGGAGAGAGTATAGTAGGAGTAGTAGTTAGTCAAGTGACGAATGATCGGGAAACTGTAGTATAAGCTAGAAATTTTCAATTCAATCATCACACACTGTATCTCTACTGTATCTTTTATTTTCTTCTGTTTTTTTTTCTTCATAATACGAATTTCAAATAAATAGAGACCACATGTACGTGACATCCTCTCTTGCAGATGATACTGTTGGAACCCAGCGTATTCAAAAACAGGTCCCTGGTCTAGAATTGAGTATTTTAAACTACAAATCATGCAGTAACAGGATAACAATATAGGAGAGAAAAAGACAAACAAAATAATGAAGGTTCTTTCAAGGCGATCTACATAGTAGTAAAAGCCTGTGACAAAAACTGACCGTATGACCTTTATGTTTATGTGAACTGACAATGTTGCACTGTTCTCGTCTTTGAGAAAGTTGCTCGGTAGCTATATGGGGCCCATTTTTGAGGCCGTGTCATTTAATATTTTTTTTACCCAGTCTTTAATGTTGTATGTTCTCACGCTTTGAGCATGATAAAATAAACAGTGAAACGATTTGCGTGCTATTTCACCATAATCTTGGAACAGCGTCGTGGTGGGAGTAGCACGTTGTGAGCCTCTGCGGTGCACCCAGGGGCCGAGCTCCCGTCGAGCGCAAACTCGCTTTGGCTTATTAAATTCTCGCACGAAGAACAACGACAGCCCGAATCGATGTGATGTGATAAATTGAATTTAACTGCACGCTGGTTTTTGCAATCTTTATGAATTTCAAATGAACATGCTCAACGAATCAATTGAGATGCACTGCAAAATGTAAGGACCAATAATTTCGAATTAAATGTATTTAAAAAATAATTTGTTGGTGTAGGATCCTGAATGTTCGAGTGTCCTCCTCCTGGCGAGGGCACGATTTACTGCTTACGAGCGATCGGATTTATTAATTCTGTCTGAGGACGATTGCTCCAATTAAGCGAGCGGTGTAAACATGCCGCTCTCTTGTTTATGCGTATCTGGTGAGCTGGAGGCAGTACATGGTACTACGCTTACGTCTTTCGAACCCTAGTTGCAAAAAAAGATGTATTTGTACATAGTATTCAAATATAAAATGATAATTAATGGTTATGTATATTTAGGATTATTTTGTCGGTACATTTTTACAAGATTAAGTTATTTATTTATTTATTTATTTATTAGAAAGTAACGAAATTATCAACACTACAAAAAAAAAATTTAATTTTACATATTCCTTTCCTTCGTTCAGTACATTAAATTTAATGGTAATTAAAAAATCCCTGAAAAGTTACTTCCTAATATACAAAATACAAACGTAGACCTTATTAATCGATAATCTTTAATGATTAAATCGATGCGTTAAATATCGAATTAATCGTAAATAATCAGGGGAATCGAGTGGTCACAGGAAGAAAGTGCCGGCGTTCAGCGGAAGAGGGTCCACTTAGCACAATTATTAGAATGGACCCCGTTTAGACACATAATTACGCCGCTCCGACAGGGTTCCTGCTCATTTCTTATTTAGTGTCTGCTTCGCGTAATTTTCAAATGATACTAGTCCTTAATGTTAGAGATCGTAGCACTCTTTTTATACCTATTAGAAATTGAAATTCTATGAGCGTCAACTTGATCAGCAAAGCACAAATTATACAAGGAATCAGTTATTTAAACGATTTTAAAATATTAATCATAGCCTAAACCTATACCGAACTCATCAACCTATTATAATATAACCAATCAATTATATAAAAAAACACGAGACAAGTAGATTAGATACGGAAAGTGTCAAAATCGCTTTTTTTAATGTGCTTTTTTATATCTATTTATAGGTAAATCGATATATTTATTCCAGCAACGGTTTTCTTTGACTTTCTGTTTATAGTGGATGCTGTTATATACTATAGTATATCAAAATCTTTCGCATCTTCATCAACAATATGTGTAACTAGTTTTAATTTAAGCCAAATTCGACGTAAGACTTCGAATATATTTTATACAAGAAAAATATACTCGTATATTCAGATATTAAAGAAAAAAAATCATAATAGCCTTGTTTTACAACCCGGTTCAATATATCCTACTTAGGGAAACACAGTATTCAGTCCTTGAAATACATAGCTATGATTAAATTTTGATTACATTAGAGAATGCTTATAATCAAGTTTGTGACTATATTTGTTCCTCAAGCACCTCGTTTCGTGTTCAAAAATGCGCTAACAAATTGAGATATGGCGCTAATGGCTTTAGACAGCCATCCCGTGGTAATTGGGGGCGCACGAGACCGCAAACCCCTTTACTAAACCAATAATACTTTTTCTTATTAAACACTTAGATCAATAGTCAGTATCAGTTCCGAAAAGTATGGCTTAAAAGGCAATTCGTTGAAATTTCAAATGATTATATTCTCTTCGCGTTCAGCGTCAACTGAAATAGAAACAAAGTTAATCATTCGTGGTATTTGTTTAACGCGTCTCTGAATGATTGTCATCTAGGTGGTCAATTAGTAAAAGCGTGAACTGGCTGTCAGTTTGGGAGTCTATTATACTTGAACATGCCTCATCTCATCTTCCAGTTCACGGTTGTGCGAAGGCCGAACATTTCAACGGCTTTCATTATGTCGCCGCCAATGGTTATTCATAATATGACCAACATTAGCATCACTATACTTTTGCTCATGAATAATCCTTCAAGTGTACCCAATAACACTTATTTTTTCTAAAACAAATGAATATTTTTCAGTTCGCGTTATTATTACTTAAGTGTCTTATTTCGGTTTTCACGTGTGAACTTAATTTAGGAAATTGGTTTGAGTTTCTTTTACCTGTGAATTTTAATAACCTTGCCTCCAGCTTGTTTAGATAAGTTCCTCTGGCGTAGTTTGAAAATAAAACATGTTCTAATTTGCTTAAAACTTAATAAATTTTAAAGGCTATTTCAAGCTTTTCAAACTGTATTTTTGCAAATTCAATTACAACTAGTTATAGTCAACAATTGACATAAATCGTAACAGATACCTTACCGTAATGAATTATTACATTATCGATTTTAAATCTATCGACAAGTGATATGGATTCCAATAGCTGATATCTTACTCGACGGTCACGATCAGCTTACCGACAAGATCTCTGTCGTTTTTTACTCTCTATTGACATAAAATGCCTTAGTTGTGAGCTAGTGAGCTCGCGCGGTCTCGGCGGTAGTCAGACTATTGTTCGCAGACAGTTCTCACGATAGTTTTTATGATCAATGCACCGGGAGTTATTTCGTTTCAATCACCTTATGACTTACACATTTTAATCGTTGCTCGTGTAATTGTACAGCTCGTCCTAGCTGCGATATTCATGTCTGATGTATAATTTAATAAGTAAGTTTTCTTTGAGGTCTTAAATACTGAATATCCAATTTTTCTTTGTACTGCCTCATAAACACTTTGATCATATTAAATTCAGACTTATATTGGGTGTCAATTGTGGCCTAACAAGACTACTCAAAAAAAAAGACAGAATAATATTTCAAAATTTAATTAAAATAAAAACGCATCAGAACCAAATACAGATATTAGAGCAAATATTTCTTCATTAGTATTTGTTTTACTGATTATTTCGGGGCGAAACATGGGAATATAATGTTACAAAAAGCAAGATGCGTTTCCGGTTAATGCCTATCAAGTCTAACCGTGTTAATGCGACACAGATCTGTTTAGCCTCACCTTTCTGTCTACGTTCAAAGCTAAATAGTTATGTGTTTTGGTTCGAAGAGCTGTTTTCCGAATGCAACAGAGACTTCAACTTCATTTCTCAAGGTCGGGGACAGCGTTCAATGTATGTTATCTATGGGTGGGTACCCGATAACTGTTAACACCAGATAGGTTGTGCTTTGAAGGATGTGTAGGCAAAATACTTAAGGCACAGAAATAGTTACTTGTAGAGTTCATTTACATTGTTTTTTTCATTATCTTAATTTGGAAAATTCTTTTACCAGTCGCATTCGGACCAAATGCCGTTTCGTTGTGAATTCTGCGCACGACTATTCAAACACAAGAGATCGCGCGACCGACATGTTAAGCTGCACACTGGTGATCGGAAGTATCGATGTGCACATTGCGAATCAGCTTTCTCGAGGAGGTAAGTTATTTATATACCTACTAGCTGACCCGGCAGACTTCGTAGTGCCTCAATCGATAAATAAAAGACCTAAGCTTTTGTATAAAATAAACTTAAAACAAACAAAAGAAATTCATCCGACGGGGGACACATTAAAGGGAAAACAAAATTGTTATTTTTATTTAATTCCAAGCATTTTCATATTTATCTACCTTTTAAACCTTCTCTGGACTTCCACAAATAATTCAAGACCAAAATTAGCCAAATCGGTCCGGCCGTTCTCGAGTTTTAGCGAGACTAACGAACAGCAATTATATTTTATATATCTATATAGATATATAGATTCGTAGCGGTATTTATACTCAAACTGTACCAATCTGAAAAAACCCTGAATCGGTTCAACATAAATGTCGAGAAATATGGCTTTCTCCTGGATAGCCTGAATTTCGTCGTTCAGAATAGCTTCGGGCTGTAATGCTGTGAATCCTAGCAAAAGAAGAATCTGGCGGGCAAATATCGATAAAATATATTTTGTGTATCGTAAATGAAAAGAGAAGTCATTGTCGGTGCTCGTAATTATTCACAAAATATCAGAGACATAGTCTAGCCACATCTTGAACCAGATAAATCGAGCTCTTGTATTTGAAACACACTTGGAAGAGACAAAAGGAATTCGTTGAACGAATTCTAGAAATGCACTTAAGATGAGAAAGAGCACATTAAAGTCCATGCCTGGTCTTCTTAAGAAATGAAAATCTCTACGACCTTAATACCGCTTTTAAATGTGGCTTCAAAATTTCGAATACATACGAGTGCTAGTTAAACCTACATGCATCTTATGTATTATATATATTATTGTTATACGAACGTAGCACTAAGGATTAAGTCTAAAATTTTCAATACTTTAATTCCTGAATAGGCGTGAGTCAGTATAGTCAAGTGGATACTGCAGAGGTGCTTATTACTATACCCAAAAGAAAAGATTGATTGCTGCATGTCCGCGACACAAAGAGACGCTGGCGGCCTAAACGCAAGACGTCACCTTTTTCGTCACCTCAGTGCGGTCACGTGACTAATTCCACTCAATTTGTCGGCCCAATGAACCTCCGAGTGAAAAGAGATGATGCGTTGACAAATGGCGTCGAGGGTCTCACAAAAATAAAATAATGACCCGTTCCTAAGCTGGCACAGCGAGCGCGGCCATTAGCGGAGGTGTTTGGGCGAACGCCTCTATACAGTGTGCGTCAAAAGCCCCTTTGTTAGTTTGTTTGGTTCGTGCTTTATGTGAGTACTTATGCTGCTTATGATAAATCATCGTCTCCGCTGACACAACGACGGTTTACTTAATTATACTACACTAAAGCACCGCATACTGCTGTTTTATTGTATTTCAAACGCATAATGAAAATCTGGAAGATGTTTAACATTAACCTATGTGTAATTTATTTATTTCAGTGATCATTTGAAAATCCACATGAAGACTCATGACAATCAAAAGCCGTTTCAATGCACGATTTGCAACCGCGGCTACAATACGGCTGCAGCGCTCACTTCTCACATGCAGGGACACAAACGAGACCGGGAGGGTCGTGAACAAGATCGCCGACGCCCACTTCGCTGCCCACGTTGTGGTGATGCATTTCGCCGACCTGATCTACTTCAGGTTGCACATTTTTTTAATTTGTTCCTAAAACGTGGCGCGTTTCAATGTACAGTANGCACGATTTGCAACCGCGGCTACAATACGGCTGCAGCGCTCACTTCTCACATGCAGGGACACAAACGAGACCGGGAGGGTCGTGAACAAGATCGCCGACGCCCACTTCGCTGCCCACGTTGTGGTGATGCATTTCGCCGACCTGATCTACTTCAGGTTGCACATTTTTTTAATTTGTTCCTAAAACGTGGCGCGTTTCAATGTACAGTAAGTAGCTCAAAACAATTTTACTCTTTTAATCAGGGACATATGACGACAGCACATGGGATCGATGCAGCGGTAATGACGCCACCGCGCCGTGTTGCATCTCAACCACCCCCTACACTTCTGGCTTGCATTTACTGTACTCGGGACACTTTCACGAGCATGGAACAGTTACAGTTACACGTACGCGCAGCTCATTCGGCCTTACTCAACGGTGACCTTACGGGACACACAATCGATCAACCTGCACCGACAGATCTAAGTAGACGAGGACCGGAAGACGCGCCACCACTGAAGCGGCGTCGATCAGGTTCTGGAACACCACAAACCACTTTATCGCCGAGTACTTTACTTTGCAATCAATGCGATGCCGCACTACCAGATTTTGAAGCATTTCGCGCTCATCTGAAAGGACATTTAGAAGAGGGCGGGGAACTGACTCGCTCTAGTCCCGCTCCGTGTTTGCAATGTGGCTCGACTTACGCAGATGCAGCCGCTTCAGAGCGGTACCTAACCGCTCATTACTTAGCAGTTTCTTGTGAATATACTTGTCACAGTTGCGCTCGGAGTTTTTCCACACCCGATGATCTCCAGAAGCACCTTCTAGATCTTCACGCTCACCATTTATACCGTTGTTCCCTATGCAAAGAAATATTCGATTCGAAAGTAGCGATACAGGTAAGGCAAATTGATTAAGAGAATTTAATTAATCTTGACGTTTATTAATTACAAGCGGCCCGGTCCGGCTCCGCTCGGGTCTTTGACAAAAATTTCAACGATATTTGACGTTGTTTTATTCTTTTAAATAAAATAACACTTATGGCGGCATAACTATAATAGTTAGACATATGCTGTTGCGACACTTTGTGTAAATAGTAATGTGTTCTACAAAGTCGTAGTACATTATTTTATTCTATCATGAATAGTTTTCGCAGGGCACGCGATGTAAATAATATTTTAGGTAATTTTTTACACCTTGGGTCACATTATTGGAGTTTAAGTAAGGATCCCTATAATTTTTTTTCAAAAAAGATTATAGCCTATGTCACTCGGGAATAATGTAGCTTCCAAACAGGGAAGGAATTTTTCAAATCGGTTCAGCAGTTTCGGAGCCTATTCAAGACAAACAAACAAACAAATCTTTCCTCTTTATAATATTATATAGTATAGAAGTATAGATATACTAATATTATAAAGAGAAAATATTGAAAAACATCTGTTTGTAATTTTTGTAATTTTCATTTTTAGGTCCATTTCGCTGTAGCCCACAGCGGTGAGAATAAAATATGGATGTGCCGTTCGTGCGGCGGGAGTGGAGGAGCTCTGCGTTCGGAAGCGGAGGGAGTAGCGCACGTGCGGGCCCGACACGGCGCCGGTGTGTCGCGGTGCACGTGCGGCGCGCTGCAAGCCGGGCCCCGTCCCGTGCGTCCGCCGCGACCTTACCGTTGTCCGGTGCCCGCCTGCACTGAAAACTTCGCCGTGCAATATCTGTTAGAGCGACACATGCAAGCGCACCATGCTTTGCCGCATCAAGTATGTTAACTAACGCAATAAAATGCATATTTCAATTTGATTAAATATAAATCGATTGAGCGGTTCCTATGATATTCTTCGGAACCGCGAGTTGTAGATATAATGCGAAAATAAACGTGAAATTAAACCGTAAAAACTATTGATGAGATCCTTGTTGTTTTTTTTTTGTTTATTGCTTAGATGGGTGGACGAACTTGGACCCCACCTGGTGTTAAGTGGTTACTGGAGCCCATAGACATCTACAACGTAAATGCGCCACCCACCTTGAGATATAAGTTCTAAGGTCTCAAGTATAGTTACAACGGCTGCCCTACCCTTCAAACCGATACGCATTACAGCTTCACGGCTGAAATAGGCAGGGTGGTGGTACCTACTTGCGCGGACTCTCAAGAGGTCCTACCACCAGTAAAATGACTTGTAATGACTCTTCAAGATGTAGATTCATTAGATGCATGAGCATTATTATTTTGAAATTGATATTTTAAGTAAAAAAGTCTCCAAGAATTTATTGATGGCCCAAGCCATATAAATAAATGCCTATAGAAAAATAGAAAATCGCTTCACAAAGAGAAGAGAAAATGGAACTTAACTAGTTTGACACTACCTATTTAAATATCGGATATTTCAAATTCACTCGTTCACTTACTAAAATATGTATTTAATAAAGAGTCGTTCTGATTTCGAAATTGTAGAAACTACTAGTAGGTAGTATATTAAAAATAACATAAACTAATAAGGCGCGACAAGCTAAAAGCCAACCAAATGTCAAGAAATGTACCAAACTACTGATTCGCAGAAATAAGCAGGATACTCTGCCATGTCGACTTGCAATATTACCTCTCACTTAGAATTTGGAGCTGAGTAGGATATATTGCCACCATAGATAGATAATAAAGAACTATCAGCATTAGCTCTAGGACTACAGAACGCACCCTTATGATTAATAACCCAATTATTATTATATAAGACCTACTTAAACTTACTCTGATTTGACCTTGCATTTTTCAGGTTTTAAACGGTGAATTGAGTAGAGCGAAGTCTATAGAAAATAATAACGGAACTGAGAGAATTGAGAATGAACGTTCACCGTGCACGCCTACCCCTGAAGCTGCTGGTGCAAGCTGTCCCATAAATAATGAAGATAGACGCCGTAAAAATGGAGCAGTTGCTCTGCAATGTGCTTATTGTGGCGAAAGGACTAGAAGTCGAGCAGAATTAGAAGCTCATACCAGGGCTCATTCGGGCGCGGCCGCGGCCCGACATAAATGTTTAATTTGTGATGAAGTTTTGCCTTCAGCGGCTGTCCTTGCAGAACACAAGCTCACACATTGCAAGGTATCTTTAAAGTTATATTTTCGTATCATATATGGTACTACTATCAAAAAGAGAAATTTTATAATACCTAATGCTTTCATAAAAAAAATATTTGTTAACCGGTTATGGAGTTATTTTTGCTCTTTTAAATAGAATGGAAAATCTCTTTTTAATTTAGTAAAAAGTCTTAATTTGTGTATCCAACTATTATCTATCAATATTTCGTTAACACTCAACAAAACTGCCGCAGGTCGTTGCAGGAGACACATGCTCTCGGTGTCGCGCACGGCTTCCATCTGAGGAGTCGTTTTTGACACACATGGCACGACACCACCCGGCTCTACCGGCGCCATGCGTCGTATGTCGACAGACACTAGCTTCCGAGGCCGAGGCCCGTCTCCATGCTCGTTTCCATTTACGCCCCAGCGAGGACGAACAACGATGTGCAATATGTCTTCGAGCTCTCCCAGAAAACGAAGCAGGCGAAGGAGCGCGAGCTTGTTCCTCGTGCTACGCTCGCCACACCGCTCCTAGACCTCCACCGCCAGCTGACCACGATTGCCGACTATGCCGCCGAGCTCTTGGGTCACCTACCCGCTTACAAGCACATCTAATCGAGCACACGTTTGCTGGAATCGGTGCATTTACGTGCTATTTGTGCTCGGCTGTTTTCACAAGCGCTGCTGGCCTGCAGCGACATTTGCCAGAACATTCGGCTGCACCCAGGCCATACGATTGTGGGAGATGTGGGTTGAAATTTTTCTTCCGAGCAGAATTAGATAATCACGCATTCGTTCATATTGAAGAAGCAGAAATAGCACAAAGAGCTTTTTACGAGGCCTATGCACGGGAAGCTGCATCGGCTTGGGCAGCGCTCGCTCCTCCAGAGCCACAGCAGACGGCAACACCAGCGCCCGCTGTGGTTGAAATGAAACGAGAACCAGAAATCAAGGAAGAGCGTCATGATGAGTACATCGAAGTGTCGTCTCCTGTTCCTCCTACACCACAAGCCCCCGCTGCGACTGCGACTCCTCCGCCGATTGTGAAGCAGGAAAAACCCGATGAAGACTAATCATTTTTAGAACTCCGTCGTTAGTAGTTGGGAGCGCGTGCTCCTCTGCAATATTAGATTACGTCCCTATGTGCTATGTAAGTTAGATTTATTAGAAGTTGATATTATGACGTTGAACGATTGCGTTCAAAACGCTTTATTTCGTATGACTATTATTATTAATTTCTTTAATATTGTTTACGTTACTTCGAATAATATGTTTTAGTATGGCTATTTGTATAAAACGGTTAATAAATTATTACGTAAAGCTTTGAATTGTTAATGTTATTTTATTTATTTGGTGTTTTGTTTACGGTACAGTACTGTTCGCAGAGAAATTGCTTTTTGCAATTTTAAATTTAGTTAACTAAAAGCGTTGATGTTTAAGCAGCGGCAACTTGCTGTTGTATCCAAGGTAAGAAAGCCGCGACATTGACGTACACAGCGGATACATTGGCGTTGGCACAACTTAGACCCCATGCGACCAGCCCGACCACCACCCAACGGCCATTTGTTTGACACACAAGACCGGAACCTCCATCGCCCTGTCAAATGCAAATTAAACAATTTAATAATATCAAATTTTCATATCGAAAAATGTGTTACTACGTAAGGAAATAGGCAAAGCGTTATTTCGAATAACCTTTGGTATGTCCGGTCACTGAAATAATATATTCGTGATCGAGCGAATTATTTAACTTTGTAGTGATAACAAATTTACAATAAAAATATTCGTAACTTTACAATTAAAGTGGCTTAACTAAGAATTAAAAGAAAATGAGTTTTACAGTACTTTGAACGATTTTTTAAACATATATAAATTCTATCACTATATGAAATTAAATTTTAAAAATTAATAATGAAATTTATATTTTATTTAGAAAAGGACAAAGTGGACTTTCCCTTACTTTAAAAATCAAGAGGATAACTTAAACTTAAAATTGAGGCTTAGAACTTACGTCTCAAGTTATGTCGCGGTAATTACTTTGTTGATATCTTTAAGCTCCAATAGCCACTTAATGCCAGGTGGGTTGTGAGCTCGTCCACCATATAATATAAGCAATAAATAAAAACTACACAATAATTGAGGCTATTCACAAATTAATTAAATAGGCTAGGAAGTTTTCTATAATAAAAAGTGTCCACTGACCGTACAAGCATCCTTATTGGACTCTCCGCCGGCACATACGAATGACGTAGTATCCAGAACATAAGTGGGCCCGAGCCGAGCTGTTCTCAATTGCGTTTGACAAACGTCTGGAGCAACAATTGGGACGTCGACCTTTTTCAGAATATTTTGAAATTGTCCTTGAGTACCGAATGCATCCTTGCCCCACCCGGAGACCATGCATCTATTAATTATCAAAAGAATATTTCATTATTTGCTGGTTCGTATTTTCGCGTTGGATGTACGAGATCTAGCCTAAGCCGGTATTGAGGGGCTACCAGAGCCTATATACATAATAAAATGAAGGCCGCAACCCAGAACGAAATATGAAACCGAAATCACAATTAAAGTGTATAACGGCTGTCCGACTCTGCGAACCAGATCCATGTCTGCTTTGTGACAGAAATAGGCATTGCGCTGGTTCTTACTGGTGGGAGGTGGGAGGGCAACTTTTATGCTTTCACGCATCTACATCCAATTCAATCTAAATTAGCAGAAGTACTGTCGGAATATCATTGCAGTTTTATCTAGACAAAACATTGCTAACACAGTAAGCACAGTCAAAACAGTGATATGCGCCACTCATATTATATTACTGAGATTTAAGGCAGTTGTATTGGTAGTACAAGAGTCCATTCAACAAAGTATTGGATATACGATGATTTTTCAAACGTTCGTAATCACTATAAAACAACTGTTTTGCATATTTCTGCCGCTTCCACAGACACAGTCCATTGAGTTTCTCGCTGGATCTTCTCAGTGGGTTGCGTTTCCGATCCGGTGGTAGATTCTGAGAAGCACTACTCTTGTTACGGTTAGTGTTAGCAACGTCGCCAGGCTTGAGCCCCGTGAACTCACCTACTTGTTAGGGTTACGCTGAAATATCCTCTCAAGGCTATCGGCTCAGGTAGGAAAAATAATAATTCTGCTGCAATGCAATTACGGGTTCCGGTTGGAACGTTTACATGCGACAAAGCAGCGAACAATTATTGTCCAAAACGGCATAAGCGCTGTGATTACTGTTATAGAGTTTATTTAACGATTTAGAGCCTTCAGGTTATGATAACACGGGTCAACACCAAATTTGACTTTGATTGCAAAGCATAAAATTTAGATATTTTAGATCGTAATTAGACGAAAAAAAATACATGGCATGAAACAGTTTGCTTTTGAACTTTAATAAATTGACCACATATGAAACAAAATGCATCAGCACCGTATTTACACTTTCGTGACATTTTAAGTTTTTCTGGGTTTGTACAAAAATTGTTTATGACTCGAGTGCCATCTAGTGGCACAGTGTAAACGTAAACACCCCACTCTCATAGCGTGTTTTTTTTTAAAGTACATATTAAAATTTATAAAAAAAAAAAATGAGTATTATTACTATAACTATCACAAAAGCAAACATTAGGTATACCAAAAAAAGGTATTTTACTTTCGTTTTTGGCAATAATTAACCAGAAAAACCTAGTATAAACGCTAGGACAAAGCACGATTTTTTTTTGTAGAGTTGTGTAATCATTGATATACTTACCTTTGACCTGTAAAGGTGGCATTAGCCGCTGAAGGAAGACACGCTCTGTTGATAGTAGTAGCAGCTCCTGTCGTCGGTGTAAACGGAACCGGGCTTGCCAATCGAAGCACTGTGACGTCAAACTGAAGCGTGTTAGCGTTGTAGGATGGGTGACTTGACACTCTTTGTATTGTGTATTCTTGGTGGGCGACTGGTTCGTACGTGCCAGCGGCGTCCCACTCACCAAGACGAACCTTCACATTCGGAGCTGTTCCTGATACCCTGTAAATATTTGATGGGATTAGAATGTTTGATTGTTTTTATTTCATTCCGTTCATTTACATTTATATCCTTGATGGAGAATCAATTTTTTTTTTTTTTTTGCTTAGATGGATTGACGAGCTCACAGCCCCCCCGGTGTTAAGTGGTTACTGGAGCCCATAGACATTTACAACGTAAATGTGCCACCCACCTTGAGATATCAGTTCTAAGGTCTCAAGTATAGTTACAACGGCTGCCCCACCCTTCAAACCGAAACGCATTACTGCTTCACGGCAGAAATAGGCGGGGTGGTGGTAAGTACCTACCCGCGCGGACTCACAAGAGGTACCACCAGTAAATAAATTCACAGCCCGCCTTTATTATAAGAGTTGTACATGGTTCGTGGTTCAGAGACTTCAGCAATATCAGGCCAGGCAATTCTTAATGCTAATCATTCTTTTTACACCTCAATTAAAACAAACATATCAGAACACGTTATTACGAAGATTTATTCGGTACCAGTCCGAAGTCACCACAAAACAATCAACGCGAGCAAACTTAAGTTGTGCTCTTTGAAACATGAAGTTGAACTTTATAGCCTTTGAAGTAATGGTACTTCAAACCACAACAAAACATTACGTTACAAACAAATATACGGACGGTAGATGTACCTAAATTTTAGATCGTGTGACTGAAAAGCCAGATCATCAGGAACTAACCAAAATTAGACGTTATGTAGTTTTACGATGGGACCTTTATTTTAGAAATCATTAGTTAAATATTGATTAATACATAGGAATTTACCCAGTACAAGTACAGTAAGTTACAAAGTAACAAGTGTATCACCGATTAGGCGACGTAATAAAATATTATATGATACTTACACATAAGACATGATCCTATGAGTAACGGTTAAAACGTTCATATTATCAATAAGAACTCCTCCGCCGATGTACTCGTTTTGTTTCGTTAAAATAAGGGCCTGTTTTGTTAAAAAAATCTTCTAAATAAAATTATTTTGTTGTTCACAGACGCTTCATTACTGATTATATAAAATAAGGATTTATTATGAAACACTGGTAAATTTCTTTTTAAAAATAAAGTCATGCTTTGTTTGTATTAGTTCAACTAAATTTGAAAAAGTAGTAATTGATTGTCTGTAAAGTCGGTTTACGGACGATAGTTTTACGTGATAACGTAAAGTATTTTTGTTTATTGCTTAGATGGGTGTACGAGCTCACAGCCCACCTGGTGTTAAGTGGTTACTGAAGTCCATAGACATTTATAACGTAAATGCGCCACCCATCTTTAGATATAAGTTCTAAGGTCTCAAGTATATAAGTACATAGTTACAACGGCTGCCCCACCCTTCAAACCGAAACGCATTACTGCTTCACGGCAGAAATAGACAGTGTGGTGGTACCTACCCGTGCGGACCCACAAGAGATCCTACCACCAGTCATAAAGAAACATTGTGGAAAAATTGCATAATTTATGAATTGAATTGAATTATTATCACTGAATTATCATTATTTTGTATAATACAAAGGAGTTCATTGAAAATTACAAGTTTTTCTATAAATTAACGCTTGGGTCGATCGTGCCTCTCGCTTGTTCCGCGTTCTCGCTTGCACACTGAGGCTCCCGCGGAACGTGACACTTTTTCATGCGTGCAGCCGGTGTTCGTCGGTTTATAAGACGTTGTCACGTCAAAAAAATAACATTAAATATTTAAAGGTTTTTAAAAACTTATTTTAATTTCGTCTACGACTCGAGAAAAACGAAAAATTACTATCTTATGCTGTTCGTGAATTGTGACTTTTTACCTGCCAAGGAAATTCACCGAAATTAGCTTGACCAGCCATAGGTGTAACTCCTGTAGTTGGTACCGATTGTAGGGTTCCGCATCCTATCTGCGTCATGTTCATAGTTGTATTACCACAACAATATTCTTGTCCTGTTAGACATTGACTTACTGCCTGCAATTTCATTTTCGGTGAGCATTCAATTTTAAGGATTATCATTGAGTGTCATCGTTCTTTATAGGCCTTACCGGAGTAACAATTCTGACATCAATCATGGGAATTCTAATACATGTTCCAGCGGTAACACATCTGCAGTTGTTACTTTGCCTTTTGTGAATTACGTGATGTTCATCAGGCTTTGACAAGTTGCTCAAAAAGTGTTTCACATTAAGCGGTCTCATACTTCTTTTTTGTCTTGGGAACTTTACAGCGGCATCGTAAGATGGTACTTGAGAACTATAGCCCATTGGCTGTATTTGCAGAGCTGCCAGAGGGCCCGGAGTAGTTCCAAGCCTGGGATCGATCGGTAGAGGCCCTGCGATTTCATCAGGATTTAATAAACACACCACATCAGGGTCATTACAAAATATAACAGGTAATAACAATCGACCTGAAGTTGTGGGAGCTGCTGTTGTCGGAGGCGGAGTAGGAGCTGCAGTAGTAGTAGTGGTCGTCGGTGGAGCTGTAGTAACCGAAGGCATTGTAGGTGGCATAGTAGGAAGCATGGTTGGCGGCATTGTCGACGGCATAGTTGACGGCATAGTCGGCGGTACTGAAGTGGTTACATTTACAGGCATCGTCGGAGGTGCCGTTGGCGCCTGAGTCGTTGGCGCCTGAGTCGTTGGCGCCTGAGTCGTTGTGGCTGCTGTCGTGGCTGCAGTTGTAGGCACTATTATAGGCGCGGGCACACCAGGAACTATCACAATCGGGGACGGGTTTGCAGGCAATAGCCCAAAACAAGCTGTCAACAGCCACAGACACATTTTTGTGAGTTGAAAGTATGCGTTTAGTTTCACACCTCTCAATACACGTCCAATGCGGTCTAAGTCTGACTGGTTTTTATTTCGACGGTCGGCATGGATTAGATAATGATGAAATTTATATTAAATGCGTCCTTAATTTTGATATATGGCATTCCCCTAACAATTGTAGCCTTCATGCCGTATTGCGTATAACCATGGCGACAAATCGTTGTAATCAGCCAAATGACGATTACTAATCTGTTGTTGTCATTGTACAGTAGTTTCGTCATCGTTTAGAAGAATTATAATATTTTCGAATTCACATAATGCGTGAAATATAGTATTGTTCAACGTGTACAGGGAAAAATGTTTCGTATGTCAGATTTTTTAATATTAACAAAAAGCATATAGGTAACGTATTATTTTTTAAGAATATTTTTTTGTCGAGTTTCTTTTAGTAAATATGTACATATAAAATGTAATAATTTAGTAATAATTTATTGAAAATCAGTTAGATGGTCGAATGCTGTGAAATATTTTTTTTAGGTTACACAGTAATAATCTACACACTAATGCCGGCCACTCACATGCGCGCAAATATTCGTACATTGTACGAATGTTTGCGCGCATGTGAAGGGCCGTCAAACATTCGCAAACTTAGCGGCTGTGCAAATGGGTTCGGTACTCAATTTGTCACGATGTTCGACCAGCCCATACCGTGGGCCTCGAAGGTCAAATATTTAGGCGTCACCCTCGACAGAAGGATGACATTCCGCCCTCATATTAAGACGGTACGCGATGGTGCCGCCTTCATTCTAGGACGTCTCTACCCGATGATATGCAGGCGAAGTAAAATGTCCCTTAGAAATAAGGTGACACTCTACAAAACTTGCATACGCCCCGTCATGACCTATGCAAGTGTAGTGTTCGCTCACGCGGCCCGCACTCACTTAAAATCCTTCCAAGTTATTCAATCCCGTTTTTGCAGGATATCCGTCGGAGCCCCGTGGTTCGTCAGGAACGTCGACCTCCATGACGACCTGGACTTAGAATCCACCAGTAAGTATATGCAGTCGGCGTCGATGCGCCACTTCGATAAAGCGGCACGACACGAGAACCCTCTCATCGTGGCCGCCGGTAACTACATTCCCGATCTTGCGGACAGAATGGAAAGCAGTCGACGTCGCCCAAAACACGTCATCTCGGATCCTCCCGATCCACTAACGGTGCTTCTAGGTACTTCAAGCACCGGTCACCGTTCTCGTCGAACCCGTCGCTTGCGACGAAGGGCTCGACGAGTAAATTAACTCTCAGACACAGCCCACTGAGTTTCTCGCCGGATCTTCTCAGT